CAAAGATTGATGCTGTGTTGCAATGGGAAACTCTGAAGTCAGCTACTGAGATTAGAAGCTTTTTGGGATTAGCTGGTTACTATAGAAGTTTTATCAAAGGTTTTTCTAAGTTGGAACTTCCATTGACTAAGTTGACTTGTAAAGGTAGAGCTTTTGTGTGGGATGTTGAGTGCGAAGAATGTTTTACAGAATTAAAGAAGAGGTCGACGTCGGCTCCGATTTTAACGTTGCCTAATCCAGGATAGCCTTTTGTGGTGTATTGTGATGCTTCTAAGATGGGTTTAGGAGGTGTGCTTATGCAGAATGATAAGGTAGTTGCTTATGCGTCAAGGCATTTAAGGACTCATGAGAAGAACTATCCTACACATGATTTAGAGCTTGTTGCAGTTGTTTTTGTGTTGAAGATTTGGAGGCATTATCTTTATGGTTATAAATTTGAAGTGTTTAGTGACCATAAGAGCTTGAAGTATTTATTCGACCATAAGGAGTTGAATATGAGGCAACGAAGATGGTTGGAATTGTTAAAGGATTATGATTTCGGTTTGAATTATCATCTAGGAAAAGCGAATATGGTAGCTGATGCGTTGAGTCGAAAGACTTTACATATGTCGGCAATGATGATTAAAGAGTTGGAATTAATTGAACAGTTCAGAGATATGAGCTTAGTTTGTGAGGTTACACCGTGGAGTGTTATGTTGGGTATGTTGAAGATTAATAATGAATTTCTAGGCAGTATCAGAGAAGCTCAGAAGTTGGATGTGAAACTGGTAAATTTGATGGTTGGAATCGATCGGTTTGAGAATAATGATTTTAAGTTAGATGCGCAAGGTGTGTTGAGATTTAGTAACCGGATTTGTATTCCTGATGATACTGAGATGAAGAAAGTGATACTTGAAGAGAGTCACAAAAGTAAGTTGAGTATTCATCCAGGAGCTACAAAGATGTACCAAGATTTGAAATGTTTGTTTTGGTGGTCTGGGATGAAGAGTGATGTGGCTCGGTTTGTGTATGCATGTTTGACTCGTATGAAGTCGAAAGTTGAACATCAGAAACCTGCAGGGTTGATGCAACCGTTAGAAGTTCCATAATGGAAATGAGATAGCATTTCAATGGACTTTGTGACGGGGTTACCTAATACTATAAGAGGACATGATTCGATTTGGGTGATTGTTGATAGGCTTACAAAGTCGTCTCATTTTATTCCTATTAACATCAGTTTTCCAGTGTCGAAGTTGGCTGAGATTTACACTAGTGTGATTGTGAAGCTGCATGGTGTTCCTTTGTGCATTGTGTCAGATAGAGATCCAAGATTTACTTCTGATTTTTGGAAGAGTTCGCAAGAAGCGTTAGGTTCTAAGTTGAGGTTGAGCTCGGCGTATCATCCTCAGACAGATGGTCAGACTGAACGGACTATCCAATCATTGGAAGACTTGCTGAAGGCATGTGTTCTTGAGCAGGGAGGTTCGTGGGATACTTATCTTCGGTTGATAGAGTTCACCTATAATAACAGTTGCCATTCCAGTATTGGGATGACACCTTTTGAAGCGTTGTATGGTCGAAGATGTAGAACTCCTTTATGTTGGCATGAATCTGGTGAAAGTGTAGTACTTGGTGAAGTTGATTCGAGAAAAGATGAAAGCTTCCCAAAGTAGACAGAAGAGTTATCATGACAAGCGAAGGAAAGATTTAGAATTTCAAGCGGGTGACCATGTGTTTTTAAGAGTTACACATGTGACTGGTGTTGGGCGAGCATTGAAGTCTAAGAAGCTCACTTCTTGTTTTATTGGACCATATCAAATTTTAGAGAGAGTAGAGAATGTTGCTTATAGATTGGCTTTACCGCCTAATCTTTCGAATTTGCATGATGTGTTTCATGTGTCACCACTCCAGAAGTATATTTCAGATCCATCTCATGTGATTCATATGGATGATGTGCAAGTACGGGATAATCTTACGGTGGAGACAATGCATGTACGGATCGCGGATCATAAAATAAAGACTCTGAGGGGAAAAGAGATTGCTTTGGCTAAAGTGGTTTGGCTAGGAGCTGCTGGAGAAAGCATGACTTGGGAGTTGGAGAGCAAGATGCGAAACTTCCATCCCGAGTTGTTTCATTAAGGTAAATTATCGAAGACGAAAATATTCTAAGTGGGGGAGAGTTGTAACGTCCGTAATTTAATTAATTATTTAATTAAATTATTTTTGGAATATTTGTAATGTTGTGTTGTTATGTTAGATATTGTGTTGTGATTAGTTGGATTTAATTATTTTATTAAGTTGTGTAATAATATGAGAAGGATAATATTATTTGATGTGAGCTTGTTTTAAGGATAGAAGTAGTAATAAGGGGGTGTAGTAGTCTTAAGCCCATTAAGGAATAAAGATAATAATAGGGTTATTTTATTATTGTTAGAAATAATAAGGAGAAAAGAAGAAGCAGTAAGAGAGAAAGAATAAGAGTTTGAAAGAAGAGAACGTGAAAGCTGTTGGAAAGGAGGAAAAGAGGCAGAACGGAAAATCAACTGGAAAAGTATAGAGCAACCTTTAATTCAAGATAAAGGTGGAATTCTGACTCTATAATAGGGTTTATGATGATTGGTATGTGGGATTAGATGTGAAAGATTGTTTGGTTTAAGATTGAATTGTATATGTTGTTGTATGATGAAAATCGATGATTGAAAGATGAATAATGATGCCCTAATGTTGTATATTTGATGTATAATTATAGGATAATTATAATTGTTGATTATCTATGATTAGAGGATGTTTTTAGGGCCTAAAGCATGGGATCCATAGTGAAAACGCAGTGAAATCGCAGAAAATATCCATGACAAAACAGTATGTGTCGACCCCAAAAGTCATGCGTCGATGCATGAAGGCTTTTAGACTCGGGATGAGTCGATACGAAGGAGTCCTGCGTCGATACATGAGGGCTTTTAGACTCAGAATGAGTCGATACGTAGGGGTATGTATCGATACATGCAGTGTTACAGACTCAATATGAGTCGATACAAGAGAGTATGCGTTAACTCGTGTAGCGTGTTCAGTTCAGTACGCGTCGACCCAATGCATTACGCGTCGATCCATGTTGTCTGGTTTTTGGCAGAATCCGTATGAAAAGGCTGTAACTTGAGTTTTCAGACTCCGTTTGAGGTGTCGTTCGAAGCATTGAATAGCTAACGCGATAAACTTCATTCTTAAGGATTAAAATGAAGAATAAGAAGGATAATCCTAGTATCCAAATTAGGATTAGAGTTGGTTCCCGTGTTAATCGCTATGTTGATTTTTGTGAAGAATGATGAGGATGAGATGATTATAGATTACTGTTTGATTTGTAACAGTAGGATTAATGATGATAATGATGTAGTATTATAGAATAGTAATATGTAGATGTTTGGTAATTTAGAAGTAAGCCATAGATGATTAACTAATTATAGGCAATATCATGTTGTAGGCATATGGCTAACGTTGCAAGCTTGGTGTTTTACTGCTGTATTGTTGTATGGATGAGTTGTTAATGATAAATGATGTTTGATAAATTATGATGTTTGATGAACTATGATGTATAAATGACGTTTGATAAATCATGATGTATAAATGATGTTTGATGATTTATGATAATAAATAATGTTGATGAACGATGTTGATGAAAGATGTTGAGATGTCTCTAATAATTGGCAGCTATTAAGATGTAGGTTTATGACCAACGATGATGTTGTGTTGAGATGTTGTTAATTATGGTGTTGTCATTACATTCATGATTGTGTCGCATACATTGCATTTCAAGATGGAGCTTATGCTCGTTAAGATGACTTGTATTGGCAAATATTAAGATGAAGGCTTATGCCTTGTTGATGCCTCTATTTACTGGCAGATTTTTAAGATGGGAGTTCTGTTCCAATGGTACCACATGCATTTGCATAATATTAAGTTGCATTATACGATTGCATAAAGAAGTTGTCTATTGATGCAGTGAATGTGTATATTGTTGGTTTTTCTGTTGCGATTATTGTTGTTTATAAGATGAGAAGTGGTTGTGTTATGTGATCTAATTTAATATATTAATTATCATACATTTTATTATATTGTTAGATATCTCACCCCTTCTGTTTGAATGTTATCCTTATGTTGGTAACGTGCAGGTAATCGAGAGTGAAGGTTGTATACCTTCAGTAGTTCGAGTCGCTGTCATTGCTCTGATATGTAACACTCGAGGGGATGGACGCTTGTTGCTTTTAATTATTGATTATTTCAGTTGTTGAACTTTAATTTGATTGTTATTAAGTATGTGTTGTTTTGAAGTTGTTGTAACGATGGATAAAGATGTTATTAAGAATTCTGCTGCGTAGATGTTTAAATTGTTGAACTAAGAGATTAAAGTACTATGATGATGGTTCATCCGAAGTTTTAAAGTGTTATGTATCCACGATGAATGCAATGTGTTTTTAAAGATGAATTTGTGACATCCTGATTCGTTTGCATGAATGATTATAACTTTGATTTACATTTATAATTGTCGGGTAAAATTGTAGTGTTACACCATCAATCCAAACAAAGCCTAAGGATATGTTTGAATTGATGGAATATGACGAAATGAAGCGAAATGAAATGGAATAGAGTTATATTCCATCGTTTGGATTGATTAAAAAAGGGATGAAATAGAGCGGTCGGATAAAATGCATTTCATCCTATTACATCACTTTCTATCATTTTTTATACCCTCCAATTTGAAAGGAATGACAAAATGACTATATTACATCATGACATATCCAAACAATAGAATAATATTTTTAATCCACTCGAATGACTTCACTCCATTTGATACCGTCCTGCTCTATTCCGTTCCGTTCCTTTTATATATCCAAACATAGCCCGAGGAATTTAGGGAGCTGTTTGATCAACAAAACTGAAGTAATATTTTGTTACGAAGTAATATTTCATGCAACACAAGGTTTCCTGCCTATGCACAACAAGTGCTTACTTCTGTGCTCCCACTCAGAATGACTGACTTCCTCGCTATAAACCCACTTTCCATTTCAGCCGCAGACTCTCCACGCTTCCCCTTTCTCAATTCACACCCATCTCCTTCAACCAGAACCCAACTCAACCCAATTTCCCTTTCCCCCTTTCCCCCCAAACTCTCCAAAACCACCTATGCTAACTACAGCGTTACCGCAGCCATCAAGAGGTCCAATGGCTTCTACGAAGAGCTTCAATTTGATGACACAAAGGAGAACGATTTTGGGTTGGAGTTAGAAAGTAACCCCCTTGATGAGAATTCGTCCAAAGAAATTGACGGATATATCTCACTTGATGATAAGGGAAGTGGAAAGAGTGAGAATGAATTGCGGGAAGACGATTTGATTCGGGTTCGAGGCGACGGTGAAGGAGATGTTGGGGTTGATTTGAGAAAAGATGATAAAGTTGAGAAATTTGGTGGTAATCTTAGATTAAGGAAAGGTAAACAAGTGATTAGACGGTCGAATTTGTTGGCGAAGCAGGTGATCAGCATTCAATCTGCTCTTACTTTGGGATTTGTCTCCCAGCTTTGGGTGGACACCACCTCTGTAAGAAAATCGCAATCTCTTTGTTTGTTCGACTTTTTTTGTGGAATTTATTCATATTATTTTGTTTGTTGATGAAGTGAATTTCATTTTCAGTGGATTGTGTTGTTTGTTGAGGTGAGGTCCAATTTGCTTTCTGGGGATTCAGAAAAATTCCTTCTTGAGGATATCAGTCAGGTAAAACTATAAGCTATCCCGGAGAGCTTATGGAAATAAGCTGAAAACCCGTCTTAAGTTGTTTCTATAAGCTCTTCTGAATAGTCTCACAGGTGTTTTTTGCTAGTATGTAAGTCAAATTAGTTAATCCAAACAGGCTTTTGAGTGTTTTGTATGTTCCTTTGTTAGGTTGGGGATGTTGTTCTTGTCCCGGATGAAAGTGTGATAGACAATGGATATACAATGATTGGATTAGAGACTCTGGTATGTTTTACTGTTTCTTGTGACTCAAAGAGAATGTCTAAATCCTGTTTTCATACCTTCTCATTTTTGCTTGAATTGAATCAGGAGTTGTTTGGGGGTAGAAAGAACCCGAAGATATCTATGATAAGACCCTGATATAGTCAACAATAATTTTCTTTTTTCCTCTTAGGACATGATCTAAAATCAATTTAATCCTTTTCTAGACCCCACGATTGTTGGAGTTTTATGTAACTTAGTTGCCCAATGTGAGAGGTAGTAAAATAACAAATAAACTGGCATGACAGTAATTACTTTTCTGATACTTACAGCTATAAAACTTGTTGTCACTTGGTTGGACCAGCATCCCTAGCATGATCTCATGCTGTTTGCTGTTTATTTATGGATTTCTCAAGGAGAATCCGATCTCCACTCTTATGAATGCTTTTTTTCTTCTTCTTGCTGAAGAGTAACTTCTTCATTTGAATATTTATGACTGGATGTCAAAATCTTATTTGTGTGCACTCAATATACTCTCACAGTCTCACACTAGTTATCCTATAGCAGCATAGGAATTTATTTTACAGATAACACTACAAGTGGCCAGTGGAGTTAGAGTGCTTTTCTATACTGTGCAACTTGAATGAATTTTTCATTTGACTTTCCTGCTAGGTAGCCTGAAATTATGATTTTTTTTTTCCATGTTGTAAATGGTAGTTGATTCGATTACTTACAAGTAAAAATTGAAGGTTTTCTATTTCTGCTTAAGATACATGACTTGTTCTGACCAGTTATATTCTATCCATATGAAAACCGGAAAGTGAGTTCTTGTGGAAATTATGATTTTCCACACTTCTATGATATTTCGTATCAACCATCTGTTTCACTGTTTTCAGTCATAGCAAGTGTTTCCATGGATTGTTTGGTGTCAATCTTGGCTACGTTACCATTTCTCTCAAATTCATACAAATTAGAAGATATCTTAATTGTTTGTATTTCCTAGGTTGGATACAGAGTTGTAACGCCCTCTCTACGAAACATTGGAAAGGTGATTGTATCTTTCTTGCACCATAACACATACTTATTTACTGGTTTATTAATCTCTAATTATATAATTACTGAAACCTTAACTCTTAGGTGCGTGGCTACAATTTCAGCATCAACTCAGGTGCTGTTGAAGAACTCGAGATAGACTCATTTGGACTATCCATCATTCCATCGAGTTTGGTAAGTGGTTTCTTAGTTGTACATTCATTAGCAATACAACATTTATTCTTCAGTACTTATATCTCCATTTAATCATTTTAGGTGAGTACCTACTCTTTGATGGTTGAGGATATACTGGAAGTGGTATCTGATGCAGTTGTTGTACATGAAGCCGCCGCTTTACGAATACAAAGGCTTTCAAAGGTACCTTCAGTTGCTTCTGTCATTTTCATCTGAAATAGTTGATGCCATCTTTCTAGAACCATTCTTTTCATTTTTAATTCTCGAAGATTTATAAATTGTGGCATCTTTAGTGTTTTGGTATCAAATAATTTATTGTTTATTTGATCATAAAACATGTTATTTGCCTTCACCAGGGTTTTTTGGGCAACCAGAATGTGGGAATATCAGTGGACGACATCGATGATTATGAATCTGAACAACGTGCGACATATGGTCGAGTTTCAAGAAGAAGAAAAAGTTTTGGAAGAAAGAAAGCCAATCCGAGAGATTGGGATAATAATGAAGATAACTGGGATCTTCCTATGGACTATCTATAATCTCACCTGCATTTATACACCTAAAGCTATTGTAATGGAGTTCTCATTTTCTTTGAGAAATATACTCCCTACTCCAAAGCCAAAGAGAAAGAAAAGAAAAGTTCTACACTCATAAATTTCATACAGATCACATTTTATTGGAAATAATGGAGTTTAAATAATAAGCCTATTAGAAATGCTAGTAGTTTCGTATGAAAAAAGAAAATGAAATGCTAGTTGTATTTTTTTTATTGGTAACAAGCTTTCTTTTGTATAGCTTATTTCCTCGAATTTATTTAGTATTTATTCTGTATGCATTATGTAATATAAATTTTCCATATTTTAACATATATTTGATATTTTTAAAAAATTGAATGAACAACTTAATAAATAATATTATAATACTTCAATCATATTTAATTCATTATTAAAACATTTATGGCGTTTTTAATTTTAAAAAGAAAGTCTCTATCATAGCTTTTAAAACTAGGACCACGCGAAAATATAAAAATGTCTCAGAAAATCGGAAAAGTATTTCTGGTATGCACTCTTATTTGGATTTTGATGGACGAGACTCTATGTAATAGTTGAGAAATCATCGAAAATACAATTACGGTTGGAACTGTAATTGTATTTCTCGAAAGCACTCCAAATACACACAATTATTAAGACTGGGAAATTCAAGTTAACATGCATTGGACGTACGAACCAGAAATACATGTACGGTTGACACCGTAGTTGTATATCCAATTTGTGTTGACACTTAAACACGTGTTGCCTCTTCTCCTTCCTCATTTTCAGAAACAATTTGAAAAGAAAAACACTCAACACACAAAAACCCAACACTCTCAAACCCCATTGTATCAAAATCAATCCATTTTGCGAAAAGCTCACCAGGAATCGTCAAGCATCACTTACACTTCAGTGTTCAAGCAGATTCAAGCAAGAAAAATCTTCATTTGTAAGTTGTTTTTGAACTTTTTGGAGTTTATGTAATTTCACCTACAACATGTGTTTTAGGATAAAAAATTCAATTTTTTTAGTGTTTGCAATGTTAGGAGTCATAAGAAACGTGTTAGGTATATATATTTTTTACTAATGACCATTTTTTTGAGGTCATTGGGGCTGAACTTCGCCATTGAGGAAGCTGAAATATTGCAGGTCGTACCAGAGATGTATTTATGGTTTTCTTCAACCTTTACATCAAAAATCAGAAATGCATATCCGATTTTAGTCAGTCTGCATTTTTTTTTGAACCTAAGTCTTATTGTTAACGTTTATTTTCGTTCTTCTACAAGAGTAATGGAGGAGAGACCATCTAGGTTGAGGTACGACAGACTTGCACAACGTGCTTATGTGCAGAGGGAACGAGTCATGTATCCCAGGCTCCGTCTATCTCGGGACAAGTTATGACAGATGCGTCTACTGCCTATGGTATCCATGTTTATATGCCTACTTCATCGTCCTCCTCCCGCAGCAGTCAAGTTTCTCCAATTCATCCCTCCCCGCCTCCGTCTTCTCGTAGACACACTTCCTCACCGATGGTATTTTGGGCAAGAGAGACATCTGATTCCCAACCGACATCACAAAATGCACAACCGACACCCGAGGCCACACATCCGACACCTGATGCATTTCATCCACAACCTAAGGATGCACAACCGACACCTGAGGCGGAACATGAGGCCCAGGCAGCTGAGGCAGCACCTGCGACGCCTCAGTGTTTTGGAGGAGGGCCTATAATTTATCATTGCTGCCTCTGTACCTGGACCATGTTGCTAGACATATTTGAGACAGAGAGGTATGCATTTTGAATTGTTTATTCTATTAATTTTTGTTGAATGTATTTTATTGTTAATTATTGTTGAATGCATTTTGTTAAACCATGTATGCAGGAATGTGGTCTACTAAAAATCATTAATCATGCGCAGAAAATCATTAAACTCGTAGCTCCCCATGAGCCATGGTTTGATGAGCTCTTGCTTCTTTTAGGCCTGAAAGACTTGACCCTTTATGGATATACTATCGTTGATCATGATATGATTAACGCTTTTGTTGAGAGGCGGCACCATGAGATGTCATCGTTCCATCTACCACATGGTGGAATAACGATTACACTAGACAATGTCGTATGTCTATTGCATCTCCCGATAAGAGGAAGGTTTTTAGACCATGACGGGTGCAACAAAGAGGAGGCGTTGAAGTTGTTGGTAGAGAGATTAAGAGTTACCCCTGAGAGTGTTATGGCTGAAATGAAGTTCACCCGGGATACTCAAGTTAGATTTAGTTATTTGAAGAAGGTGTTCACAGTTGAGCTACAACATGCACGACAAGATGATGGTGATCCTGAGCAGGTTACCCATCACCGGAGGTGTGCTATGAGAGCATATCTTATGTATCTGGTTGCCACGTATATTTTTGTAGACACTAGTGCCATTTATACTGATGTCATGTACCTGGGGTACTTTGACAATTTTAAACAGATCCATGAGTGGAACTGATGGGCAACTTAGTTGGTGTACTTGTACCACAAGTTGTCTGAAGGATATAAGTGGAAGATGAAGCAGATGACCGAGAGCATCACACTTCTGGAGGTAAGATATATTTGGTCTTATATTGTTTATGTGATATTTTGTTAATTGTTGTGATTTTGTTACTAACTAATAATTATTGTAATTCCAGGACTGGATCCTACAACACTTTCCTTGCATCTCGGGTTGGTCACCTGCCTCGAGTTACATTGAAGAAAGGACGCATGCCGCTTCATTCGACCCACTCCAAGGGAACCAAACGACAAATCCGTTCTGGGTGTATATTGGCTGGTTGGTGTTTAAGGATACACACTTCCAAACCTATGTCGACCACCGTGTTACGATTCCATTTGACGATGTTACACTAGATTCTGGATGGTTGGCTTACGGGTCACGCAAGGTGGCTGCTCATCTGCCTGAGCGCATCATGCATCAATTTGGGTACATGGAGTATATTCCCCGAGAACCTTTTGTGTTTGCTCCTCCCATGGTGAAATAGAGGGATATGTATGCTTTGTTTGATGATTATGTTAATCATCTTATGCCATATGAGGCCCAAAGTACCTTAGCACCAGACGATTGGAGCTACGTGAACGGTTATATCATATTGTTCTTCAAGGTGTCCCATTCATATCTAATACATGATGCTCCAGGAAACCTGATAGGAAAAATAGCAAGTGTACTATTTTTGTCTCTTGTAATAATATGGAGATTCCCCGAATTTCGATCTCAAGAACTGTGTGCAATTATCGAGTTAAATTTGTAGTGCAATTAAAAAAAACTTGATATGGGTTTTGGTTTTGATATTGTCACTTAACAGAAATTAAAAATAAGCAGAATGTAAATTATGGCTTTTCGCAAATATGAGCAACATGCTAGGGTGTTGTGTGTAATTTACCCTGTAACAATCTTGAATCCCGATTTCTTCAACAAATTCATAAAACCAATTATCAGCCCTTTAGGTTATTTCCCCATAAGTCCTTAGTAAGAAAACCTTTGAACATTCATCCTACATCCTAAGTCCTTAGAGATATCGGATGGAGTCAAGCCTTTGTTTTATCAAGAGTTTCTGGTAACTTATAGGGTATCCCTAGTCCTAGGTGATATCTACTATAGTCTAATCGTACAAAAACCTTAACAACCGCGGTCCAGCGTATTGTTAACCGTAGACCAATCCTAATTGCTCCGATCAGGAAAGCATAAAAATATTGCACTATTAAATTGAATATTAAAAACCATGGAATTAATAAAATCAGAAATTCAAAGTCATTATAGATTCAAATCAGGGCCACCCCCTAGCATTATGGGGTTTAGCTACTCATATTGTTCAAAAGAGTTTCAATGATATAAAGATTAAACATTACAAATAAATGATGAACTTTGACCTTCAATCACTGCAGCTCATGAAAAATCTTTGTCCTCCAAGAATCTCATATGTTGCTCTCTCCAATCCTCAATTCTCCGTGCGGAAAAAGTCACCTAATTCCTCTTTCAAACTTGGCTAAATAGTGAACAATTCATTTGTCTCGATCGGAAATACCCAAAACGCCCCTATGGGTCCCAAATAGTGAAAAATCATTAAAACACTAAAAATCAGCGTCACTGGCCAACACGGCCCGTGTCAGGCGACACGGTCGCCCATGTTGGCCATCAGGTAATTTTTCTACTCCAAGCATGCTGACACGACTCGTGTCAGGCGACACGGTCGCCCATGTTAGCCCCTACTTTCCAAGTTGTCCAAGTATTCCCCCTGACACGGCCCGTGTCAGGCGACACGACCACCCATGTCAGGGTCTGTTTTCCATGCTTTCCACGTCTTCCTCCTGACACAGTCCGTGTCAGGTTACATGGCCATCGATGTCAAGGCTCCTATAGCATTTCCTCTGAAACTTTGAATTATGCACTTTTTCCGCCCCGATTTGTCTCGTTTTATTCTTTTGAGCCTGAAAACACTAAAACACAAAACCAAAGCATAATATGCGATGGAACAAAGTAAAAACTCTATATTAAAATAAACGATAACTAAAATAACTGCTAAATATCTGTGTAAAAACCACTGATTAAACTCCCTCAAACTTAAACTATTGCTTGACCTCAAGCGACCATTATAAGAACTCGTGAAAATCACAGCAGACCGATACTCATACGTGAGACATCCGTTCAAATTTCTCAAAAGGTAGTTCATCCGATGTTCACATGACGCGAAGAGTTTGTTTAAGAGCCTTTAAATCTTGAGCTTTCTCTTCAGATACCTCTCTAACTATACTTTGTACTTAAGTCTCTTTCCTATTTTCCTCCTTTTTCATTTGGACAGTCAAATTAAGGCAATGAGAGTTATGCTGATCGTCACATGCACAAGTCTAATCAAGAATTTTTGTTTAGGCACAAAATAGCAGCATTGGCTACTTTTAATTACCTATGAGATTTTAAAACTTTGCAATTATATATTTCCCTTCTGGACGACGTTTGGGGATCAACCCCCTTTGGGAT